ATGGAGCCGGAGGGTGTTTTTCCCTCTGCTGAGCAGCTCTGAGGCCCAGCACATGGAAACGTCAGAGCCAAGCAGAGAGGATCCCTTCTGCTCCAGACACTCCCGGGGAGGGTGTCACCCAGCCCTCTGGATATGTGATGCTCCAGGCAGGCAGTGTTTCTGCTAATTCTGCAGAAGCTGAGGAGCAATCCCGTGTTGCATGTGTGTTCTCAGGCAGACAGCGTGGACTGGGATGAGCCTCAGGGATGAGCAGCAGCAGGAATGGGAGGCTGGGGAGTCAGCTGCCCCCTTCCCCTACCAGCAGCTGTGCCAAGGAGAGGGATGGTGTGGGACACCGAAATGGATGAGTTGATGGGAGGGGTGCCGTGCAGGGCCCCCTGGGGTCAGCTGGCAGAGGCTAAGAACCTCCACAGGACTATCAGATGGGGTGGGAGGAACCTGCTCTTAGAGCTGGAGGTGAAATGCGTTTTCCCTGCCTCCTCATCCTCTTCCTGTCCTCTCCCAGATCTCCGCCTGCAGCTGCTGGACGTGAAGAACAACCCCTACCTGATCAAGGCTCTGTATGGCCTGCTGATGCTGCTGCCCCAGAGCAGCGCCTTCCAGCTCCTGTCCCACCGCCTCGAGTGCGTGCCCAACCCCGAGCTCATGCAGACCACGTAAGTGCCACGGGGACGGACCCCCAGCGTCGGCGCTGGGCTTGGATCAGCTGTTCCCCCACAGCTGAGCATCCCTGCCATGCCAGGCACAGCCCCAATCTCGGGCTCGGCCCCGTGCTCCAGCTTTCGCCCCCGGCTCCGCTGCGACCGTGGCTGCTCCTTGTCCCCGTGGCCGGGAGTGTTGGCTCGGGGGGTTTTTTATGTCTATATTTGGTAACCCTGGGAGGGCTGTGCCTCATCCACAGGCATTTGGCATCCGGGATGGAAAATTTCACTTGTGGGGTCGCTATGGAAACGAGCAGAGCCGGGAAGGAGGTTTATGGAGAAAAGACTCCGGCAGCTGGGGGGGTGCTCCCAAAACGTCCCCCCTGCAGCCTGGACAGCCTTCGTGGCACCCAAAAGGACCACGACACCCATGCCAACGCCTCAGGATGGCAGCTCCATTCCCACTCCCGGCCTTTGGGGATCCACGAGATGTGCAAGGGCGGCATCTCCTTGGGGACCAGCCGAGATCCTCGTGCTCCCTGCCCAGGGGTGCTGCCAGTGGCATTTGCTTTCCAACCCTTGGCTAATGGAAGTGGATAGAGGGGGGCGGATGATGGTAAAGCCGGCTCTGCCTCAGCAGAGCCTGGGAACAAAAAGAGCTCCCAAGATGGGCAGGTTTCTGAATTAACCCCCCGCTGCCGTTGTTGCTCCTTGGCTTTTAACTGCTTCCCTGGGATGGCTTTTATCCCTTGTGGCCTCCGGCGCTGAGCTCCTACCCACAACCCAGCACTGATCTTTAATTGGGGGGGCGGAGAGGGGGCTGCGTGTGCTTCCCCCTCCTTTTTTTCCCCCACCAGCCCCAGCAGTGGGGGTTTTTCGAGCTGTCAGACGGCCTGAGCATCTGATTAACTCTGACCTACATTCCTTCAAACACCGAAGCCGGCTTTCATAACCGGCCAGCCCCAGCTGCCCCCTCCCCAGGGGGACACCGGGGCCACCAGAGCTGCCTGCCAGCCTCCTGTGGGCATCCTGTGGCTGGTGTCCCCTCTTCCTTGCATGGGGACAGCACGGGGACGAACAGCTGTAGCTGGAGCCCTAAGGAGCCTGCATTTGGGGGTTTCAGCCACGGGAGCTCGTCCCTGGGGACTGTCCCTGCTGCCACTGGGTATTTTTGGCTTGCTCAGGAAATGAGACAGGGAAACTGAGGTACAGGGCACTGGCATCCTTTCCTCACTGCTTTTGACTGGAATGGGTTGGAATAGAGGGAAGCATCCACGTTGGAGGAGTTGAACCTCCCCTGTGGGGCCAAGATGTAGATGTTCCTTGTCCCCTCCTTGTCCCAGGGCCTCTTGGGCTCCATCTCGCATCTTTGGGGGACTTGAAACATGTCTTTGGGGTTGTTTTATGGGGCACCAGCATAACAAGGATGTGCTGAGCTCAACTCCTTCAGGACAAGCTCTTGGTGCTTCCAGTGCTGGGTGCTCAGAGCGCCGACATCCCCGGCCCCTTCCCACCCTCACTCTCTGTTCCCACCCTGCAGGGACAACACCAAACCTGGTACCAGCTTCAAGAGAGCGGCAGCCTCCAACATCGACTACACGGAGCTGCTGCAGCACTTTGAGAAGGTCCAAAACAAGCACCTGGAGGCAAGACACCAGCGAGCTGGGCGGGCAGAGCAGCTGGACCGGCGGGTGGTCCTCTGAGCACCCCAGAGAGGCCACCGCGGGTGTGCACAGCTGCTGGGGCTGGGACCAGGGGACACGGACCAGGGAACGGGCACACCGGTTGCTGGCCGCCGGAGGATCTGGTGGGTTTCATGGAGACGGGCAAGGCGCTCAGCACCGGGCTGGTTTTTTCCCCCCCACACTGTGCATGTGGATGATGGGGGACCCTCAGGCTGTGCCCGACTTTTCCCGTGGGTGTTGGGGGGACGCGGGGAAGGGTTGCAGGAGGAGAGGGCCAGGGCAGAGCGCCTCGTCTTCTCTTGCAATGGGGCGAGGAAACTCCCCTTTGCTTTGCTAATGCTTTCCCCGTGACTGTCAGCTGAGAGCCCAGCCTGCTGCCAGCAGCACCGGAGGAGGGGAAGGGAAGACGGGAGCAACCCCTGGCCTCCCGCCCTGGAAAACAAGCACGCGGGGCTGCCGGCACCTCTCGCCACCCTCTGGCTCCGAGGCCCTGCTGGAGGTCACCGGTGGCGTCTCACTCGGGGAGTCACTGCTGAGCGTGACACTCGGCCCCCTCCCTGCATTCACGCACCCTCCCCGAGCCCCCGGCTCTCGGCAGGGACGGCAGCACAGCCTCAACTCCCAGCTGGCACCGGGGGGGCACAGGGGGCACTGGAGACCCCCCCCTCACACTTAACCCCAGACTCGATTCCTGCGTTAAGCTCCCCGCGATAAAATAAACAAGCGATGCAGAGCAGCCCATTCCTCGTTGCTGGGCTTCCCGTCACAGATGTGTTCCCAGGCAGAGCCAAAACCGCAGCAAGGGCAGGAGGATGGCATGGAGCATCGTGCTTGACCCCGTGCCCCAGGCTGGCCCAGCCCTGCCACGTTGGCTCGCCAGCGAGCAGGGCTTCTCCGCCTGCTCCTCTTCCCAGCAGGAAAAAAAAATCCACCACTGAAATCCTTCCAGGCCACGGTCACGAAACCGCAGTGTGGTGACAGGCATTTTCCTGGCCCCGAGCAGCTGCTGGCGCTGCCTTCGCCCGGTCCCATGGCACCAGGGGACTGTGGCACGTGCCAGGCCGGAGCGGTTTGGGGGAACCCCGTTGCATCCCCTGCTTATTTCAGGCCTTCACCTGATCCCAGGAAAAGGGGGGGGTTGAAGGAATTCATGGAGTTTTTATGGCTTCTGGCCCTGTTTACAGCAGGGGCTGTCTCTGGCAGTGGGTTCCCCGAACAGCCCTATACCGGCAGCGCTGCTTTGGCCAGGATAAAGACATTCCTGTCATTCCCGGGAAAGGGCTTTCCAATCCCAGTCACGGCGGGTTAATTTTAACGGCCAACCCTTCAGGATGGGCGAGCAGTGGCTTCCCAAGCCCACCAGCTGCTCAGGGCGCTGGGGGGGTACCCGTTGCCTGCCCCCCAGGTCATTGCCAGCGTGGGCCAGGGCTGCTGCTGGCCCTGGGGCTCTGCCCATCGTTCCTGCCGGGCTCACCACCACTGAGCAGCCTCTTTCCACGCCGAGGGGTTTATGGGGAGAAATTCCAGTCGACTGCTGAGCCCTAATCGTTTCCTTATGGGTGCTCTTGACCAACACCGGCTGGAGCAGCGTGGGCATCACCAGCAGGGGAACGGGGCTACTTTTCTGGCAGGAAAAGGCGGCTCAGCTGAGCATCATTTCACTGCGAGGTGTAAGGAGGTCCATCAGCCTGACAGCCCCACAGCCCGGGAGGCTGGGGCTGAGGCCTCCGGATGGCTGCTGCTGGCAGGCCATGCATTTCCCATGGCTCTCCGGTAATCGAGTGCACGGAGACATTTCAGAGCTGCTGTATAATCGCCCCGGAGGGACCTCAGCCTGCAACGGTGGTTGCCTGCAGCACACCTTGGCAGGTCAGGAAGGCAGCGGGGGTCAAGCACCCCTCGGGGAGAGGCTGAACAGGCAGCATGCCCCCACCACCACCACCTCCAGGGCTCTGGGGCTGCCCCCGAGCATCCCATGGCAGCTCCGGTGCTCACCCCGAGCACAGCGTCGCTGTATACACCCTGGAGGCTCTCCTGCTCCTCACCCGGCACCCCAAGAGCATCCCTGGGAGTTCCTCCGGCGCCATGGAATCAAACCTCGGTGCTGCCTCCACCAGTCCCCTATCCCCAGGGATTCGTCATGTCTTCCCCCTCCATGCCCCCGACGCCCCTTCCCCCGCAACAAGAGCATCCCCGAGAACCACCGGGGCTGCCCCCGGGCCTCGTCATCCCTGCGCGTCCTCCGGCTGCCCGCTGCCTCCCCCGGAGCATCCCCGGGGCTGACTCTGAGCCATCCCCCCCCCTCCACAACCCTCCCCGCTCCCCGCAGCCCCCCGGCCCCGCGGCGGGCAGCGCATGTGCCGCTCAGCGCCCGCCCCGCTCCGCCCCCGCCACCGCCCGCCCCGGGCCGCCGGTCCCCGCTCCGCGCTCCGCTCCGCGCCCCGCTCCGCGCTCCGCTGCCAGGGGGGCGGCGGGTCCGCGCAGCCCCCGCCGAGGGAGGGAGGGAGGGAAGGAGGGAGGGAGGGAAGGAGGAAAAGAGGGAAGGAAGGAGGCAGGGGGGCGATGCCCCGCCCGGCTCTCCCGCCGCTCCGCCGCTGCGCCCCCCCCGCCGCCGCCGCCGCCTCCCGGGCGCCGCCCGCCCCCCGCCACCGCTGAGCCTGGCCCGCCGCCGCGGCCTCCCCCGGCGGCGCCGCCCGCCCCGGGCTGCCGCAGCGCCGCGATGGAGACGGCGGAGAAGGAGTGCGGAGCCCTCGGCGGCCTCTTCCAAGCCATCATCAACGACATGAAGGTAGGGGTTCCGCCGTTCGTGACAGCGCTCGCCCCCCCCAACGCCGCCCCCCCCCCACCCCGTGCCGCTCCACCGGAGTGGTGCCGTGGTAAGGCAGCGGGGCTCCGGTGGGCAGCCCCGGGATGGGGAGCGGAACCCCACATCGGGTGCTGGAGCCCGGACATCAGACCCGCAGCGGGTGTCAGGGTCCCACATCGGCTGTCGGAGCCTGGCACCGGGTGCCGGAGCCCCTCATCAGCCCCATACTGGGCATCAGGACCCCGTGCTGGGCATCGAAGCCCTGGGCATTGCAGCCTCACCAGGAGCCCTGTGTGCATCATCGGATACCGGAGCCCCATCCTGGGATTTGCAGCCCCACATTAGCCCCAGATCCGTCACTGGGTATTGGAGCTCCATCCTGGGTGTTGCAGCCCCGCATCAGCCCTGTTATCCATTATGGGGTATCAGCGCCCCGTGTCAGGCACCGAGGTGTTTGAGCATGGCACTGGGTGCCAGAGCCCCACATCAACCCCAGACTGGGCTTCGGGGCCCTGCGTTGGGCAGTGGAGCCCACGCTGGGGATCGTGGCTGCGGATCAACCCTGGATGCCAGAGCCCCGTGTCGGGTAAGACAGAGCGGGCATCGCTGTCCCTGCCCGGCTGCCGCTGGCCCCGCATCGGGCATCGCCGCCCGTTTCAGGCATCGCGTGTCCCCTGCCTGGATTTCTGCCGGATCCACTGGGGGTTGACACCAATGGAACAAAAAGGTCCCCCAGCTCCTCAATCCCATTTTTACCAACCCGGGGAGGGGACATCGCCTCCACCCTCCCTGGGAGCAGGATGAGGCCGTGTTTAAAAAAAGCCTCTTTTTTTGTTTGTTTTCGTTTCAAGGAATGAAAATTAAAAATGCTGGGGGGCATTTCTGATTGGGGGCTGAGCAGGGAGGAGGTGACCAGCCTTGTTGCTTCACCTGGGGGGGCGAAATTCCCACTGCCAGCTCCAGCACTGAGGTTTAGCCCCAGTCATTTTTGGGAGGCAAAAGCTTTCTTCCTCCTCCTCCTCCTCCTCCTCCTCCTCCTCCTCCTCCTCCTCCTCTTCCTCTCTTCATGCTGCAGACCCGTCCAGACAATGCTGTCATTGCCAAAGCAGGGGAGGGGGGATAAAAAAAAAAATAAAAGCCTTGCTGGGAAGGAGATTAACCCCTTCGAGGGGCAGTGGTGGCTCCGCAGCCGGACTCTGGCTCGGGGCCGGGAGAAAAGCTCTAGGGAGAAAATCCCAGCTCTCCCCAGGGCAACGGGATCTGGGACTGGTGGGATGATCAGCTCCCTTCTTAAAATGCCTTCACCCCAGCCACCCTCTCCAGGCAGCCTGGCTGGGTCCTACACCCCTGAGGGGAAGGTGGGGGCAGCCCCTGCCTCGGTTTCCCCGTTCCCCTGCTGAGGCTGTGGAGGGGATGAGCCAGCCCGGAGCCGTCACCTCCCGGTGACATGCCCAGCACCATCAGGATGTGGTTGGACTGGGAACCCCTCACCCAAGGAAACCGGCCTGGGTTCGATTTCACGCCGTTTCTAGGTGGGAAAGATGAAAGAAAAATGATGAAAAAGAAGGCAAACCCCACCGTGCTACAGCTGGGGCTCAGCTCGTGCCCTGCGCAGCCCCAGCCGAGCGCCGGTGGCACCTAAGGGTGCATTGTCCCCATCTCCCAGCCACGTGGGTGGCCTGGCACGGGCACTGGGGGACAAATAACTCCCTCCCCAAAGAACAGCAACGTTGAAGGGCAGCAATGCACTTGGGGTCCTATGGCTGGGACTCCTGCCCAGCACACAGGAGGGCAGAGGGACCTTGTTTTGGTGGCGGGTGGCTTTCTCAGCACCCCTTGGCCCGTGGTGAGGAGGACTCTCTTGGTGGCATTTCCCAAGCCGACTTCATTCCTGTTGCCTCTTTTCCCGCGTGCTCGGCGTCCCTGGGTGACCTTGGCATGTCCTTGTCCCGGTTGTCCTCTCCCCCATCCTCCTCTTGCCTGGCATCGCAGGGCACTGGGGGCATCAGGACCCGCTCCCCTGCTACAGGGGAGCCTCGCTCGCCTTGCTCAGGATGGCCATGGAAGGTGGCCCAGGGGTGGTGGTAATGGCAGTCCCCAGGGACCCACAGCCAGGGCACTGCCACAAGTGACGTGTGAAGTGGCCCCCTGGAACCTCTTCTTTGCTGACTCATGAGGAAATCGGGGCTTTGGTGGTCCCCAGAAAACAATGCTGGGCTGCTCCCGTGACGCCTCGGTGCACACCTCGTCCCCAGAGCTGCCACCAGGCTGGAGTGCCCGTGGGGGGATGTGTGGTGGCCCACGTCCTGCAAGGCTGGCTCTGGTGTCCCTGTCCCAGCCTGGTGGCTGCCTCAGGGGGGGATTCACAGGCCCCTGGCACTGCCATCAGGTGGTGGCACCAGGATAGCACCAGGATGTTGTCACTGGGACGACAGCACAGGAACTGACCTTGCTGGGATGGCAGAACCGGCAGGATGGTGACACCAGGACTGGCTCCGCTGGGATGGCTTTGCTGGGATAGTGGCACTGTGACCAGCCTCGCTGTAACTGCACTGGGATGGCCTTGCCAGGATGCTGGCACCTGGATGGCTTCACTGGAATGACGGCACCGGGATGGCCTTGCTAAGATGGCACCAGGATTAACCTCAGCAGGACAGCACTGACTGGGCTCGCCGGGATGGTGGCACTGGGATGGTGGCACTGGGATGGTGGCACTGGGATAGCCTCGCTGTGGTTGCACCAGGATTGGCCTCGTTGCGACGGCACCAGGACTGGCCTTGCTGGGATGGCACTGCAGCTGGCATTACTGGGACAGGCCTCACTGGAATGGCACCAGGATGGTCTTACTGGGACTGGCATCTCTGAGGCGTCACTGGGACTGGCTTCACTGGCACCGTGCTGAGATAGCCTTGCTGGAATGGTGGCACCGGGACAGCCCTGGGATGGCCTCACTGGATGGTGGCACTGGGACAATCTGGGATGGCTTCACTGGGATGGTTGCACCAGGACAGCCCTGGAATAGCCTCACCACAAAGGCAGTGGGACTGGTCTCGCAGGGATGGCCTTGCTGGAATGGCACTGGGGTGGCCTGCCAAGCACCTGTGCCCTGTCCCTGTCCCCACACAATTGTCCTCAACCCCAATGTCCCCTTCTGCCCTGTTGGTCCTCATGGGGGAGGCGAGGACTGGGGCTCCTGCTGTGGGAATGGAGCCCTCCATGACGGTGGGTTTGGCCATCAGTGCTCTGGGGGAGGCTGCAGATGCTGGGGGGCTCTGCTCCACTGCTGGCCATGGTCTTACAGCTTTTCCTTTCTTCCTCTCAAATTTCCAAACCCGTCAGATGCCTTGAGCCCTGTGAGGAAGAGATCACCCAAGATCCTGAGGTCTCCATGGTCCTCAAGTTTGGATGGCCAGACTGGAAAGGGAAAAATCCAGGAGGGGAAAGGTTTATGCTCAGCCTTTTTTAACCATCAGAGAAGCCACTGAGCTGCCCTGTCTCTCTGTACCAGTGGAGACCTGCCCTATGTGGGAGGGGGTGCAGGGGTGAGGGCTCTGTCTCTCACCATGGCCCTTCCTCCTTGTTCCTCCTTGCAGAGCTCCTACCCCATCTGGGAGGATTTCAACTCGAAGGCCACCAAGCTGCACTCCCAGCTCAGGTGAGTGGCCCTGGAGGGGCGGGACATGGGGGATCCCCTCTCCCCACGGCACGTCCCGGTGTGCCCCACACCTGCTGAGCTCCCCCCTTGCTCTCTCCACCCCAGGACCACGGTGCTGGCTGCAGTTGCCTTCCTGGATGCCTTCCAGAAAGTGGCTGACATGGCCACCAACACCCGAGGTAGGTCCTTTCCCCTCGGGGTGAGTGTCCCCAGGCTTGGCCAGGCAGGGGGACGGGTGGCAAGTGTCCCCTGTGGGGCGTCCCCCTGCCCATGTGACTGGGGTGCACTTCAATCAGCAGCTCCACCATCCGTGGAGAGATGTCCATCCTGTCCCCACACCAAGGTGGAGCATCCCCTGGGAGACAGGGTTGGAAAGATGGGGAGTGGAGGGGTACCCATGGTCCAAGGGCACCCGTGTGGATGCTGGCTTCTCACCACCCATGGGTGCTTAGCCACATCCTCTGGTGGGGCTGGGACATTTGGGGTGGCTCAGCCCCGTGCCATGGTCCCCTGGGATGCACAATCCACCTTCCTTGTCCCCGGCACCCACCTGGGAAATTCCCAGGGCGGTCCTGGCTGCTCCAGGTGTCTCTGGGGAAGGGAAATCAACTGGAGGGAGATTCAGGAGTCCAGGCTCGACTGTTTCATGGCCAAACCCCAACCCACCAGGGAAGTGACTGAAGAGCTGAGGGGGCCTCCACGCTGCTGGGGGGGGGGGGAGGACCCCCCGGACCTTCCCCGAGTGCCTGTTGGCAACGAGGAGCCACTTCCCACCGCTCGGCTTCTGCCAAGCAGATGGTCCCGGGCTGGTTTGCAGACTGGCGGCATCCAGGCCATCTGGAGCTGCGCAAGGAGGAGGAGGAGGAGGAGGAGGAGGCGGCAGCTTGAGCCAGGATCAGCTTTGCCTCCAAACCCACTAGCCCACTGCACTGGGGGGATTAGGTCTCCCCCAGCTCCCCGCCAGCCTGGGCACTGAAAACAAGGAGGGGGCATGGGGGGAATGCTGGGAACAGCTGGGGATTGGCACCCTGGGAGTCAGCATCACCCTGGAGTGCTGTTAAACCTGCAGGGGGTTTTTTGGGGGGAGGAGGGTGGGAGGCAGAGCAGCAGCAGCAGCACGGGGAAACTGAGGCACTGGGTGGGGGCTGGCTGGTGGCCTCGCACACAGCGCATGAGAATCGGATTAGGAGCAGCAGGAGCTGGGATAAGAGCATTAGAAGCTGGATTAGGAGACTACCCCCGTGCAGGAGAAGGCCCTGGGCCCACGGGTTCCCCTATTTCCGCAGCACTGAGGGGCTGGGGAGGGCTCGAAATCCCTGCAAAAGGGCGGAAGGTGTCTCTGGAGGCTTTTTTTATGGGAGAGAAAGGCGGAATATCCCTCCTCAGTTTGCACCCAAGGATTTTGGATCGCTGCTTTTCCAGGGATTTGCCAGCAGCACTGCCACCACGTGGCCGTCCTTAGGCTTCAAACAGCGGTTTCACCTAAAAGGGATGCTTTTGCTTTCTCTTGCTGGCAAATAGCCCCCTCCGGAGAGTCTGAACTCCGTTTTCACCCACTCGGGATTGTGCCTGGAGGTGTGGCACAGAGCTGACTGCCTGGAACTAAGCCGGGGCACCTCATCCCTCCCCTTCCCTGGCCCCGCAGTGCCAAATTTGAGACAGACCAGGAAAAAAGGGGAGCAGGTTTTAATTTCAGAGCTGCTGGAAGGGATATTTAGTGCTTTATTTGTTAGCTACTGGATGATGACTGATTTATTTTGTGGGTTTATCGTGGGGTAAAAAAAAAAAAAAACAAACAAACGGCCCCTAACCCGAGGAGTCCGCAGAGCTCATCAGCACATCCCAGTGCCAATCGTCCCTGCCTGGAGCCACCCTGCTCCCACCACACAGGCTGGGCTGGGACCGGTGTGGGGACGTCCCTGCCCCTCATCAGCAGCGCTTCTCTCCCCGCCAGGTGCCACGAGGGACATCGGCTCGGCGCTGACCCGCATGTGCATGAGGCACCGCAGCATCGAGGCCAAGCTCCGGCAGTTCACCAAGTAAGGGTGCCCAGGGCGTTGGTGAGGGGTGTGCTGGGCTCGTCCCTCGCTGAGGAAGGAGGGTGGGGTCGGCTGGGCCCGGGGAGGGGGGCACGGCTCCCCCCACACCCCGGCTCCGGCGCTCTCCCACGCTCTCTGCTTCTGTCTCTCTCTCCCTGCTCCAGCGCCCTCATGGAGAGCCTGATAAACCCATTGCAGGACAGGATTGAGGACTGGAAGAAAACTGCCAACCAGCTGGACAAGGACCACGCAAAAGGTACGGGGAGGGAGGGACAGGATGGATCTGTGTGGGGTGACTGCACTGCCTGGGGGGGATCCCCTCTGACAGCGCTTCTGTGCCCCCAGAGTACAAGCGAGCGCGCCACGAGATCAAGAAAAAATCCTCTGACACCCTCAAGCTGCAGAAAAAGGCTCGCAAAGGTGAGGGGGGGTCTCCTGGGGGGTGCCCCCGCCAGCCCCTCTGCAGCACGCCCGGCCAGGGCGGGCACCCCGGCTGTGGCACTGCCAAATGGGGGGTGGGCACTAAGGGGGTCCTGCTGCCCCCCTGCAGAAAGGGGGGTGCCAGCACGGCCCAGGGGGTGGTGGGGAGGCGGGGGCATGTGCCCCGGCCTTCGACCTCTTTTCACACGTTTTCTCTGTCTCCTTCTCTCTTCCCTCCCCTCCACATCCTTCCTGTAGAGCTACTTGGTAAGTGAACTGCTGCCCCCCCACCACCACCGGCCCCCTCTCTGCTTCCTCATCTGTTCCCCCCCCAGTCTCCCCAGGCTCCGTCTGTCTGTCTGTCCGTCCGTCCATCCGCTCCCTGTGCCCCCTTCACCCTGCTTTTAGCTTAGCTTAGCTTGCACCCCACGTCCTGGGGCAGTGCCAGCCCCACCACAGCGGCAGCCCAAGGGTCCCAAGTGCCAGGAATGGGGATGGAGTGACCGAGGAGGCCCCTGCCCAGGGGCTGCTGAGGGGTGAAGGTGCTCCTGAACCCTCCAGGGGTACGGGCGCAGGGGGGGACCTGAGGCAGCTGTTGGGATGTGAGGATGGGGAGATGTCCCCAAGCTGGAGCCGGGGGTGTGGCCTCAGCTTGGCAGTGGGAACCTCAGCAGATTGGGGAGAGTGTCAGGGGAGCCCAGTGCTGACAGTGTCCCATCTCACAGGGAAAGGGGACCTGCAGCCCCAGCTGGACAACGCCCTGCAGGACGTCAATGACATGTACCTGCTGCTGGAGGAGACGGAGAAGCAGGCGGTCCGCAAAGCCCTCATTGAAGAGCGGGGTCGCTTCTGCACCTTCATCACCTTCCTGCAGCCCGTGGTGGTGAGTGCCGGGGACCCAGCGGGGTGTAGGGGTGGTTCCTACTACCCAGCCGGTGCTGATGCTCCCTCTTATCTTGCCTCAGAACGGGGAGCTCACCATGCTGGGAGAGATCACCCACCTGCAGGGCATCATCGAGGACCTGGTGGTGCTCACGGCTGAGCCCCACAAGCTGCCCCCCGCCAGCGAGCAGGTCAGTGGGGGTGAGCTGGGGGGGGTCAGGGGGAGAGGGAAGCATCTTTGAGGGGGACTTACACCCCATGCTTCCCGCAGGTGATCAAGGATCTGAAGGGCTCTGACTACAGCTGGTCCTACCAGACCCCTCCGTCCTCGCCCAGCAGCTCCAGCTCCCGCAAGTCCAGCATGTGCAGGTATGGTGGGGTGGGCTCCACACCCGACCACGGCCAGGAAATCCAGTGCTCCTCGTTAACCCCAGTGGGCTAAGGACACTTACAGCCCTTGGGGATGCTCACAAGGTGCATGTCCACCTTCTCGTGTTCATGTGGCCGACTGGTTCCCGCTAATGTGGAAGGAACTGGTCTTGGTGCACCGGGCGGGGCTGGTGGACCTATGGGGCAGGATGGGCGCCTGGAACGTGCCCTGTCCTCTGGGGTTTGGGGACAGTGTGAGCTGTGCAGGGGAGCCTGGGGGCAAACATACCACCTTTGTCGTGTCCCTCAGCCTGTTCCCTGCCACAGGGGCACCCCGTGGTGGCACTCCACGTGCCCCAGCTTCCCCCCGTCGGGGCGCGTGGCAGGGCACTGGCCGCCCTGCCGCCTCCGAGCCTCCGTCTCAAATTCTCTTTTCCTTCCTTTGTCCTCCCCACCGGCGTGTCCCCGTGCCCCCGGCGCCCCCCCAGCAGCGTTAGCAGTGCCAAGGGTGGCATGGCGTGGCCCGGCGGGGCTCAGACCTGCTCACCCAGTTCCACCTATCGCTACCGCAGCCTGGCGCAGCCCCCCGCCGCCGCCACCCGCCTCTCCAGCGTCTCCTCCCACGACTCCGGCTTCATCTCCCAGGACGCCGCTTACTCCAAGCCGCCCTCCCCCATGCCCTCGGACATCACCAGCCAGGTAGGGCGGGCGGTCAGTGCTCTGCCCACCTCCGTGCCTCAGCTTCCTCTTCTGCAGAGTGGGTGGGTGGTGCTGGGTGCAACATGAGAGTGCAGAGCAGGGGTGATGAGACCCACCCCCAGGAATATTTCCAACTGCGTTGGCCTCACGGGAGATGATAAATATTGGGAATATTGGGGGTGTCTGCCCTGCAGAGAAATCCCACCCACGACCTCTCCCCCCAGGGATGGGGCACAGATATCCCTCTCATTTTGCTAGGGGAATAGGATATTCCCACTGGGAGAACAGGGTGTTTCCCAATCACCTCAGCCCCATAATGCCCAGTTCATGCCAGTCCTCCACCAGGCAGCATGAGCAAAGCTTCCCCTTCACTCAGCATCCTCCCCAGTGCCAAGGATGGTCCAGGATCCCCAGGGAGCTGCCATCCCGGCCTGCCCATGCTAACCTGGCACCACCAACCTGGCAACTGCCTAAAATGCCTCTTGGCTCTCCGTGGCTTGGGGTGAGCAGGGGGGAGGATCGGGGCGGAGCAGCATCCCAGCTCAGTAGATCCCGCTGCCAGGTCAATCTCCGTCCCGCATCCGCTGCCAGAGGGGAGGAGGGCTGGGGGCCTGGCACAGCCAGGGGAGCTGTGGCTGCTTCTCTAACGGGGGCTGCAGCTCTGGCTTTGCTTGCTAACAGCCTCTTCTCTCCCCCTCTTGGCCTCGTGGCACGGCACAGCAGAAGTCCTCCAGCTCGGCGTCCTCAGAGGCCTCCGAAACCTGCCAGTCGGTTAGCGAGTGCAGCTCCCCCACCTCGGTTAGTCCTTGCCAGCCCACCGGGGTTGCACTTCACACGTGGTTTCCCCCCCCACCTCACCTTGTGGGGTTCGGGCCCCAGACCCCTCATCCCACCCCCTCACGGGGCAGAGCATCCCGAGGTTTGGTGGGGGACATCGGCACATCGTGCCCTCTCCTGCCCCGCTCTCCTGGCGTCGCCAGCGTCAACCTCGTGCCTTGCCCTTCGCAGGACTGGTCCAAGGCCAGCCCCTACGACCAGCCGGTGGTCCCCACCCTGCAGCGGCGCAAGGACCGTGTGGAGCACCTCCGGGAGGCCGAGATGGGCTCTCCTGCCAGCGGGTACCCGGGCATGGGCGGCGAGGACGCTCCCAGGCCCCGCATGTCACCGGCGACGATTGCCGCCAAGGTACCGCCCGCAGCGGGGAGAGCGCAAGGGGTGGGGGGTTCTCAGGGGACTGCCAAGAGAGGAACCAGGGTGCTGACAGTGCCCCTTGCCCTCGCAGCACGGGGAGGAGGTGTCCCCTGCCGCCAGCGACCTGGCCATGGTCTTGACCCGCGGGCTGAGCTTGGAGCACCAGAAGAGCAGCCGGGACTCGCTGCAATACTCCAGCGGCTACAGCACACAGACCACCACCCCCTCCTGCTCCGAGGACACCATCCCTTCCCAAGGTACCTCGGGTACAAGGGGGAGCTGGGCCCGCCTGAAACAGCACCCAGAGTGGGGGGAAGGGGACGGCAGGGGCTTTGGTGGTCCTGGAGCGCTTCTGCACGCTTTGGGTGTCATAACATCAGGCTGTGGTCACATTGCATAGGGCTGAGGGGGTGAAGATTTGATTTGGGTCGGGAATTTGGGGGGTGGCACAACCTTCGTGCCACATGTGACCACAGCCTTTTCTGATTATTTAGGTGTTAGTTGAGGCTCAGTGGCTACAGCTGTGCCAGGCAGTACTGTCACAGGAAGCCTTTTGTCAGGGTGTTGCTGGAGATGGTTTGTGGTGATGTGTCTGTGTGCAGCAGTTGAGTACAGGTGGAGACTGTAGCAGAGTTGGCGGTTGGAGATCAAATAATGTTTGCAATCACCATGTTGATTATGTGATAATTACATCGTGTTTGTAATCATCCTGTTGGTGTGATGACGGCTGAGCCGGTTATGAGCGTGTGATGGTGACGGTGGAGGTTGGCTGTGATCATGTTGTGATAGCGGTGGTTGGGGCGGTTGTGATGACGATGCTTGGGTTTGACTACAGCCAGTGGCAACGGTGGGGGCCGGTTGTGTTCGTGTTGCAGTGGGGACAGCCAGGGCTGGTTGTGATTTCAGTGTGGTGGTTTGGGATGATCGTGGTTGGCCACGCTGACTGTGCTGCTGCCTCCCCAGGCTCCGACTACGACTGCTACTCGGTGAACGGCGACGTGGAGTGCGACCCCCAGAGCGACTTCGACAAGTCCTCCACCATCCCGCGCAACAGCAACATCGCCCAGAACTACCGGCGGATGATCCAGACCAAGCGTCCCGCCTCCACCGCCGGGCTGCCCACCGGCACCAACCTCCCGGCCGGCACCACCCCGGGGGTGGCCACCATCCGCCGCACGCCCTCCACCAAGCCCTCGGTGCGCCGGACCCTCTCCAACGCCGGCCCCATCCCCATCCGACCCCCCATCGTCCCCGTGAAGACCCCCACGGTGCCCGACTCCCCCGGCTACGCCGGCCCCACGCGGGTGGGCAGCGAGGAGTGCGTCTTCTACGCCGACGACGCCTCTCCGAACCCCCTGGATTTTGCCAAAGCTTCGCCCAAGCGGCTGAGCCTTCCCAACACCGCCTGGGGTGGCGGTGCCATGGAGATCTCCGTGTACCCCGGGGCCGGCCAGCACCTCTCCGCCGAGGAAGAGGAGGACCAACAGCTGGCCGCCAACAGGCACAGTTTGGTGGAGAAGATCGGCGAGCTGGTGGCCGGCGCCCACGCCCTGGGGGAAGGCCAGTTCCCCTTCCCCACCACCCTCGTGGGGTCCGGCCCCGGCGAGGAGACCCCCGCGCCCCCCCCGGCGGCCTCCATGGACCCCCCGGCCGAAGACATGCTGGTAGCCATCCGGCGCGGGGTGCGGCTGCGCAGGACCGTCACCAACGACAGGTCGGCCCCGCGGATATCGTGATGACGCTGCGGCCAGCGGGACGTGCCCGCCGCGGCCGATGGACCTCCCCGGGAACCCCCACCCGCCGGCACCCGCTGCCCTGTCCCTCCCCGGTGGCCCCTGTTCCTGCCCCTGTCTGCTCCCGCCCTGCCCTTCTCCCTGTATCCTTCCTTCACTTGCTCTTTCTTTTCTTTTCTCTTCTCCTTTTCCCCACTTTCTCCTTTTCTTTTTCCTTGTTTTTTTTTTCGTTCTTCTCTTATTTATCTCTTTTTCTTCTCTTTTCTTATTTTCCTTTCTCGTTTTGTTTCTTTTCCTCTTTTTCCTGTCCTTTCTTTTTTGACTCTTGTTCTCCTCCTGTCTTTTCTCCTCTTTTTCCCCTTTCCTTTTTTGCCCTCCTCCCCCTCGTTTCTTTTCCTCTCTCCCACTCTCCCCTCTGTTTTCCCTCCCCCCCGGGCGCAGGCAGGTGGCCCCAGCCGCAGCAGGAGAGGACGGTGCCAGCAGGGCCATGGCAGCAGCAGCAGCAGCAGCACCAGGAGCGTGGGGGGTCTTGGCTCAATCCCCCCCAGCTGCCTGCTCGGGGTCAGCACGGCCCAGCCTCATTTCAAGGGGCAGAAGCAGCGGGGAGGGGGGTGCAGAGGTGGGGATGTGTGAGAGGGTGGGGTGCTGGGGGCACAGGCACTGCAGTCCCCTCTGCCTTGGGGGGGACACTGGTGTGCAGAGGCTGAGGATGCCGAACCTCCTCTTTGCCCCCCCTCTCCCAGGGATCGCTGGGGATCCCTCCCAGCCCCCCCAAACCTCCTCCCTCAGCACCTGAAGCCCCTGTGCAGGGCCCTGCTCGGGGGGGGGGGTCCAGGGAGCAGGAGGTTTCACGCAGCCCCCTCCCCGAAGTGAAGACGCTGATTTCTGCCGGCGGCTGGAGGAAAGCACAACCCCCCAGCCCCCCGCTGTACATAGCCCCCCCCACCCCCACCCCGCTGTCTGTCGCCTCGCAGCCCCCCCAGCCCAGCCCTCCCCTTAGGAATAACCATTTAGTCCTCCCCCTTTCCCCTTCTCCTGCCCAGAACCGCTGATGCCAAGTGACAAATGTTTGGGTTTGAGGGAGGGAGGGGGTCTCTTATTTTGTACAGAAAACAAAAATTCCTTGGAAAAAAGAAAAAAAACCTGACCTGTCTTTCGACTGAAGTAACTTTTCTGGTGCTGTTGTTAACTTGGTCCTTACTCTTTTTTTTTTTTTTAATTTATTTTACCCAATGTGCTCCCGCCTCTGCCGCCGCTTCCCCTCCTCCCCATCCCTCTGCCAAGTTTATTTCTCTTTCTTTCATTCCCTCTTTCCTTTTAATTTTTTTTTTTTTTCTGGTGGTAATTCCCCTCT